CGGGCAGAGCCCGCCAGGTCACGCAGAACGAGGTGCCTCTCAGGCAGGGAGACTGCCTGGAGGGGCACAGGTACCCCGAAGCCCGGGTCGCAGAAGCTCCCCTGCCAGCCCAGGCTGCAATCAAGGCTGGTTCCAAGTGCCGCAGATGCTCAGCTAGACGACCCCGCTAACCCGGGGCTGTCATCTTCCTCGCTGTACACGCAGGCACTTGTCCCGACACCAGCGAGAACTAGGGGCTCGTATCAAACCAACAAATTCCATGTATCCTTGGAAAGGACAGAACGGTCATGTTACTTCTTCACGTGCCTGCTGAGTGACGGAATCGTGCGAGGGATGGCCTGAACACGTACCCGGCATTCACAGCTGCCCTCAGTACCAGGCAGGGGATCCACGCACCCCTCTCCTGCCTCGCCAGCTGTACAGCCAGCCACCCCGCTGCCTTTCGCTGCCTGACAGCTTCCGAGAGCTCCAGAAGCGCTAGGCTGCAACGGCTTGTTTGTTCGGCTCTGCTTTCGTTTGCAAATACCTTCTAAGGAAAGCTAATTTTTGCTCATTTGCTTATTATTTATTTTATAGATTTGTTTTACAGATCGCAATCTTCAGTTTCGGTTCACCGAACCTGCAAGCAGGAAGGCTCTGCGTTCTCTCCACCTCGTCAACAACGCCCAACCTTGTTTTTACTGGGAAACTACTTCAAATATTAAGTATGTGCTTTCCTACGCTTCCCTGCCAGATGTGTCAGGGAACAAACGCAGGCACTGGTGCACCTCCCCCTGCAGAACCGCGGTGCAGGGTTCATAACCCGGGCTGTCGCACACAGAACAGGGTGGGCTCTGTCTGTTCACCTCCTCGGAGCTTGTGCAGGACAACGGCCCGTGAGATTGGGCTTTGCCTGCGGCACCCCCTCCTGCAGAGCCCACGGAGCTTGGAAGATCAGGGGCTCAGTGGGCTCAGTCCTGCTCCTCACACCCAGGCTTTCAGGGGACTGCGCCTCTACCACCGGCACTTCGCAAATACCCCGAAACCTGGGAAGTCCGGATCAGACCTGAACATCTACCAAGTCTGTAAACACTCAGACCAAACACCTTTTGCATTCGGTTCCAACCTATGTAGAGCGAGATCACCCACCAAAACCTCTCGTACAGAGATTACAATCGACAAGTTGGCACTGGAGGAGACGGGGATCTGGCGCACTGTACTCCTTTGTGACAGCTGACTACAACTGGAAAAAAAAAATATAGAGAAGAAACGGAAAGGGTGCCAACTGCACATCCAGTATTACCTTCTCCCTCCAGTTATCTTCACTCCACATCTTCTGTCTTAACGTTTCCTGCAGCTGCTCTGTTCTGTTCTGATGAGAAATCAGCATTAACTCCCTAGAAACCACAAAAACTCGTATGTAAATACATGCTCTGCCCAGATTGGTGGCATGCCGTTTTCTTGCAATTAAGTCCTTTGTGGCAAAAGCTCCTCTCTCCCTCTTTGTTCAGTATTCTGTGCAATAAGCCCGGGAATCCTGCCTGGAGCCCGGAGGCTCAGCAGTAATCGCTTCTTAGCATTTGCATAATGCCATCACATGCTTTATGAATTTTACGTTTTAAAGAAAATACTATAGTTGATCTTTCTTCCAAACCCACATATTTAAACCTCAACTGCTTTTAGTATTTCTCAAGTCAAATTTTGAAGAACACTGAAAACCTGTTATAATATTCAAACCAGAAATTGTTTGTATTTAATGAACTCAGAATATTACTATCATTAATTAACCAACTGTACTAGGTTTTGAATTAAAACCACCGAGTGCTTCCTGTTAGAGTTACTGTTTGTTATGTGAAGCTCGTAGAGCAAAAGCCCTGGAGAGTCTAAATTCTTGTAACTTCGGTTATTAGCAATGCACCAGCTGGAACAACTCATGTATCTGGGGTTTAAGTAGAAGGGAAATAGTCTTAAATTAACATGTAATCTTTTCATGCAGGTACTGAAGTACAGGGAATATTCAAACCCTTTAGATGTGAAAATAGCTTAATGTCTCCTGGTGTACATCACTCAAAAAATGCTTCTCCACTTTTCTGAATAAGTTTTCCATTGTACACAAAACAAACAAATAACGTATTGCCATGTCTTAAGTAGGGGACAGCTCTTCTATTTTGCCAATAAAAGACAAGCTACTTTATCAGTAACTGAAAATGTATCAGCAGGACACAAATACTAAAAGACTGTTAGGAATAAATCTGGATAGGTAGATTACACTCAGTTTTAAAAAGTGTGGATTTAGGTCAATAAGCACAGGAGTCTAAAACAAAGGCACTCAAACTAGATAGCACCCCAGGAAAGTCAAGCCTCAGAAGCTCACTGCTTTATTTCCCACATCTGAAAAGTCATTCCAGGGAAAACGGCAGCTCGGCTGACAGCTGAGACCCTTCAGAACAAGACTGGCCTGGCGGGAAGCTGCCCAAACACCAGCCCATACCCAGTAACCTGGCGGAGTGCAGTATTTATAGCCCTGTTACAGTTCCCAAGTTGCTAATAACTGAAGTTACAAGAATTTAAACTCTCCAGGGCTTTTGCTCTACGAGCCTCACGTAACAAAGAGCAGCTCCCACAACTGCAATAAACGGGGGTTTTGACTAAGCTCGAGCTGAAGCCCTGGATGGCAAAGCAGGGGGCTTTTTTCCTCCTTTTTTTTTTTAAACAGGATTTTTTTTTTCTTTTTATTTTTCATTCCAGTTTTGTCTATACTGTAATCATATTAAAAATCCATCCATTCCAAAATTCCAGGGTATGAGCTGCGAGCTGCCAAGGCTTTTATGAGTTTTGCCCTAAAAGCAGGAGATGAGAGAGGGGGCAGTGGCAGGGCAGGACTGTCCTGAGCACGCAGGCAAGGCAGCGACTTCAGAACACTGAGCTGGGACCAGCTGGTCTCGCCCAGTCTGCCCAGTGCCATAGCCACACTCCTCGTTCTGCCCCCTCTCCCCCCGCATCCCGACCGGCACAAACCACCTCGGGTGCTTTACCGAATCTACCTGCCCTTTCGCTAACGGGGGAGAGGCTGAGGACCTGCCAGAGGAGGGAAGTTTTATTTCTACGAGGTTTCCAAAAGACAATCTAGGCTGAAGAGAGTCACGGGCGACTCCCCACGGTGACCCAGCTCCCGTTACCTTTCTTGTTTCAACATCACCACCTCTTCCTCTGTTTGTCTAAGAAGAGCTTTAAGGGCTTCCAGCTCGCTTTCCGATCGACCCGTTCGTCTCTTTAGATCTTCTTCTTTCCTTTCTTTCTCCGCCACCTCTTCCTGCAGATGTTTGCAGACTTGTTGGCAAATTAGAAGAGATTCCTCCTTTTCCTCGAGCTCTTTGGTAAGTCTATGCATGAAACAAAAAAGTATCAGCACCGTAGCTAGACAGAAACTGAAAGGACAGAAATAATTTGTGCCTGGGAAATAAAATATTAGACAAAACCCTGTGTGCTTCTTGATGAAGTTAAATCTAGTGACTTGCACACACAAAAATGAAAAAGACCGTATAAAAACTACATTAAAATCGTAATTTTTTTGCTTTTACCGCTCAGAAAAGTGTATGTTACGTTACAAAATATAATTTCAGCATTTACCTTGACTCAGAAATTCCATTTTCATATTTCATTTTTTTTAGTTCATTTTGACAGACATCAAGTTCCGTTGATTTCACCCTAAGAAAACATTTAAAACAACGCGTATTGTCCACAGAAATGACAGCCTTTGCTCGTGCAGCAACCCGAACATCATTTATCGATGTATTAACTCACTTGCATTTCCTATTTCACTTAAAAGGCAGACAACAAACGAAAAGCTCTTTCAGTTCCAGCTAACGTTTTTAAGGAATTGGAAGTCACCCTTCCGCTGTCACCTCAGCCTGCCCTAGGGTCACTCCAAGGTTAATGCTGCAGACAAGAAAGTGAGATCTTGCAACACGGGTGACAGTTTTAAGTAAGGTACAAATAAAAATGAACAATTTAGTAGGTAAGAGGGCTTTGGAAACTTTGCAGGTTTCTTGTCATTATGTCATCATTTCACCAATTAATAACCATGGTTAAGCTTCGTATTTACATTTAAACAGATAGAGAATATGTTATTTTATTAAATTGTACCCATATTACACTGAGTTTTTACTATTATATTTGGAAACCCTTTACCGTTTATTTAACCGTGTTCATGAAATCTGTTTTTTTCAGTCGATACTTGTTTTATCATTAAAACACTTTGTTGCTAAGCATTCCAAATATTTGCAGCTTCGTTACGATCAGACCCTCTGAACAGAGGAGCCGAAACCAGAAAGTACACATCATAAAAGAATGAATCCTTGTTTCAATTTCAGGAAAAGACACAGAAGGACCGATGATAGCTGGTCTCAAAGCTGGCAGCATTAGTCCATTACTCTTGAGCTTAATATCTGAAACAGTCATTTTTATTTTCAGCAGCGAGTTTTAAAGTGCTGCCGCCTCGAAACGATTTTCTACGCTATACGCAAGCCAAGAGGATTTTTGCGGATCCTGGCTCCCGCAGCTTTGAGAGGTGACGACCCAGGTCCCGCTGAGCGCCGCTGCGTCCGGCCGGGCCCCTGCAGGCGGCCGGGCCCCGTTTTGGGGGCCCGATACAGCTCCCACGTACGTCGTCACCTCTCAAACCTGCTGGGCACAGCCCCAGGGCACGGGGGACCTGGCAGCTCCCCCTGGCTGGGCCGTTAAGACTAACCCAGGAGAACAGCCTGCAATAGCACGACGGCGTTTCGGAAGAGGTGCCTCCTTTCCCTTGTTTCCTCGGGTTTTGACGGAGGACTCCCTTCTGGCTCTCCCCGTCATCTGTGGGCTGCAGCAGCGGCGCCCGAATGGGGGACGGAGCAGAGCAGCACCCGGGTGGGCTGGAGATGGAGCAAGCGGAGATCTTCCCCCCCGAGGGAGCGCTCCCTTTCCAGTCCCCCTGCCGCAGTTAGCTCCGAGCAGCACTTGGTGATGTTCTACCTCTGCTCTACGAGCTCGGGTTTTCCATACTCTTACTCGAAACCAGAGGCACGCCACAGCCAAGCTGCAGACCACAACGGCAGACTCGCGCGTGGGGAAGAGCGACGGCAAATGCAAAAGGAAATCATCGTCGCTGATTAAATACCACGGTTCCTGATGAGTTGCGCTGCGCCCTTCCCTCCATCCCAAACCTACCACGTGAAACCCGACTTCCCACGCACGCTTGTCGTCCAGAAGTTACGTGGCTCTCACAAAACGTACCCTACGCTTGTGTGTTAAGTGAAGTGTCGGACTGAGCTGAGCTAACCCTCCTCTTTGCTGTGTCATTAGATGCAGCTGGAAGAAGAAAGCCCTGCTTCCACAGAAATACAGAACATTCAACAGGAAGATAAAGCATTTTCTCTGCTGGCCATAACTTTCTCAAACTGCCGTGACAAGCAGCACGAAAAGTGGTCTGTTACAGCGTTGCGTGCAGTGGCAAAAGAGTCAAGCCAAGGGGAATCTTACATTAACAGCTTTTTGTAGTGGTCCATCTCGGCTGTTACTTTCTGGAGCTTCAGTCCAACTGTCTCTACTTGATTTGTTAAATCTGAAAATAAAAACACGGGTTTCAAGTCTGTGTTGATACCAAAATAATTCACTTTTATACATGTTGTGTTTTATTGGCATCCCAGACGTGCAGCTCCTCACTCGCCCCTCAAGCAGGCGAAGCAGTCCATCACAGCCCTGCCTCCCAGCACCGCGGAACGCCCACCTGCCACGAGTCCAGGTGCACGACTCGGAACGTTTGAATTGATTCCTCACTGCTTACAAACCCGATGAGCCAGCTGTTTCTATTTTCTTAAGAACAACAAATCCCTTTCACTGAAAAGGCTGGAATGCCGCTGCAGCGCCGCACGCTTCAGAACAGCCCTCCAGCCTCTGTTCATCCACTAGCAGACACTGGCTTTACAGCAAGAAGCTGGTTTGGTTTTGTTCGGGGTGGTTTTTTTTTTTTAATCCTACCAGGAAACATCAAATTCAACTAAATGTAAATATGAAATGCTTTAAATCGTATGGTTTGTACACAACGCCGAGAGCAAAAGCACGCAGGAAGGCGGACCTGAAAACCGCCTGCTAACGCTGCTTCATGTAAAACCTCAACGCTGATTTAACGCTACTGTGTGTTTTGTCTTAGGCTCTCTTAGCTTTCTTGCAGAACACATCACCTATCAGTTTCAATCAGCCACTGCCTTTTTTCCAGGAGATATCCCAGTTCTTTTTGTCTGTGCAATTAGTTTAATCATCCCTTTTTTTTTTTTTTCCCCTCACTTGGAAAAAAAACCCTTCCAAACAAGATACTGAGCCAAGACAAAAGAACTGTTCAATATCACTCCTTCTGCAAGCCTCATGCAAATGACCAAGTGACAAGTTTACTCCCGGCGGACAACGGAACACTGATTTACAAGCCTTCACCCCCGGGAGCAGGCCGGGTCCCGCCAGCCGTGGCGTTGCCGGCCGGCCGGCCCTTCACGC